GGCGGGGATGGGGACCCAAATTTTATCCCTGACGGGTATCGGGAACGGAGGCGGGGACGGTTTAAATTTGCGAGGGCGGGGGCGGGGAACGTAAAACCCGCCCCTGCCCCGCCCCGTTGCCATGCCTACTTCCAACTAAATTTGACCAGAGAAATGAATCTTATGGACTTTAACCTCTTTTAAACAAACACTGTTTTACCTAAAATCCCTTTTACGTCAAAAAAACTTCTTTACCTTAGAAAACCCCTTTTATATATAAGAATTGCAAATTTTAAAAGAAAAAAGGATTTAAAACCCCGATTCCATATTTTCTTCATATGAGCCTTTTTTTATATATTTATTTGAGTCATTTTTGTCTAGAAGTTCTTGTCAAATCGCTCGAGGACTTCTTTCAAAGCATCATTACTATTATTTCTACCTTTGATATAAAATCTTAATCAAACACCAAAATTTTGTATTCTTAATTGGATGGTATAACTTGGTAGTTCAATATCCCGTCACATGTCTTCTTCTAATGTTATCAAAATTTCACAGTAAAAAAACTACATTATGTTATTGGTATATCCATAATTTCGTCAGCAATATTGTCAAAATCTACTCAACCGTGATTCTCACTTTCTGGTAACTACCTTATAAAAGCTAACCATACCCCAAACCAAGGAAGTGGATCTTTAATTAGGAAATACCACTAATTAAATTAATGAGTAAGAAGGCAAATTAGATTCACATGTGTTGTTCCGTCACGGCATACATACCAAACACCAATTGGCATCTTAATGAATGATTTTGGTTGAGATATTTGGAAATTAAAACTAATGCTTGTTTATCTTTATGGTCAAGACTCAACACCAATAGTGATGAATTGATTAAGCAAGTGATTGGTGGAGTGGAAACTTGTTATTTAACGCCAGCAACGACGACACAGAATTTAAGGCCGGCCAAAGCCTAATTTTTTGGTTACGGGGTTACAAGTAGGGACAAGAAGCCACATAGTAAACCAACTCATGCATTTGAGGCATTTGTCTCTATCACCAAAATCGTGAACGAATGCTACCACAACACACATCTTGTCCAAGAGAAAATGATATCAACTACACAATCCATGCTCATGTCTAGTTCACTTAATTTCCTACACGCACAACTGTTGGGATTCATCCCAAGTCCCACATCGGTAAAATGAAGGAACATTGGCTAGTTTATAAGTGTCCACCATTCCACATAGTATGAGGCCTTTTGGGAAGGAGCCCAAAAACAAAACCGTGCGGGCTTGGGCCCAAAGCGGACAATATCATACTATGATGGTGGAACAGGTGGACAATCGGGCTCTAACAACTGGTATCAGAGCTCTAGGTTCGGGAGAGTATTCTTAGTATGCTCTGTGGTTGCAGTTTTATCTGATCTTCCACAACAGAAAAGAATAATCTTCAGTTTAGAGAGTGAGAGCTTTTCTCAGAATTCCTCAGTTTAAGAGGAGAGAGTCTCAGTTTAGAGAGCAAGAGCTTTTCTCAGCAGCAGAGCAATGGCATTAGAAGAAGGGAAGGTGAAGATAGAGAAGTTTGATGGTAAAGACTTCGGCTTCTGGAAGATGCAGA